CACACATGTATTTATGTCATTAAGTTTGGTATCAAACTGCAGAATATACTTCAAATTTTAGTATTATACATTATTTAATTTCATAATTTAAAAGTAAATATTAAAAAACACACCTAAACATCGATTTTTGTGTGTCACGTGGTATGTTGAATGCAGCACTGGTTTAAATTAGATGTTTGTGATGTCAAAATACACATTCTATAGTTTTGTACGAATTAGGAACTCAAATTACCGATATTGACAAGTTAGAATATAAAATAAGAGCCTCTTATCTTTTCTTTTTGCTCTCATTACTGAATCAAAGCAGTGGCCCCACTCACCTCTTGGAAACGTCCCTTATATAAACTTACTTCTATATATGGCTTGTGAATAACTAATGGAAAGCTCAGAATGTCCCCCTAGTGGCTTTCTTAGCCATTTTAAAATTTTTATATTATATATCTTTCTTTCGATACCAGACGGCATAAAGGTAACTTGAGTCTTTAGTTTGTTCAAAGTTTCATATTTTTTTAGACCCAAATACAGCCTTGTTACTAAAATTGATAAATTATAATTGAGTTCTATGGTGTCGATATAGTAATTTTTGATTTTTTGGTAATTCAACTGTATGTATATAAAATCTAAAAAAATTATTTTGTTTCATATCCTCCATGTGCAAAATTTTAAGAGGCTTAGCAACTTATGTCAAGTAGCAACCAAGTACAAAGGTTATAACTAGAAGAGATAATTGTTTCCTTTACTTCTTTATTTACTGTTCTGTTTTTTTATGAAAAATAAGTTTAAGAAGTTATTTGTAAATAGTAGTAATCTATATACATATTTTATGTATAATAAGTGAAATGTGACTGTATAATCTATATTTTACAAAATACTAGTTACTAAAACACAACCAAGACAGGTCACTTCGTTGAGACTAAAGGTCAGTTTCATATTGTTGGATACAGTAGCATGAGGGCACATGCACCACGTCATTGTAACTTCTGTATTGTTAGCGGGCACAGCTGTAAGGTCAATATAATAAAATAATAAATATATAATGTGTTATGAGATTCAAGCTATTTAGTCTAAACATTTATGTTTTCATGTTATAATTTGTAGTCATTCTAGAACGAAAGAAGCATAATTTATATTTATTTCCAAATTTCTTATGGTGGTTTGTTTGTTTTGAATTTCGCGCAAAGCTACACGAGGGCTATCTGCGCTAGCCGTCCCTAATTGAGCAGTGTAAGACTAGAGGGAAGGCAGCTAATCATCACCACCTACCGCCAACCCTTGGGCTACTCTTTAACCAACGAATTGACCGCTTCACGGCTGAAAGGGGCGAACATGTTTCGAACCCGCGACACTCAGATTGCGAGTCGAGTGCCCTAACCAACTGGCAATGCTGGGCCACATAAATACATAAAATAGTAGTTCAATAACATTTTGAATGCTAGTCAAAAAACGCGATGACATGGCCTTTGACCCGTGTGGAAAGGGCTAAGTTGTGTATAGTTACAAACAAATTAACGCATGTACTTGTTAATTAGTGGCTAACAGATTCAATAATCCAATCTATATGACCTCGCTTTTTATATACGGTATGGCTCTAATTGTTTCAATAATGTTCTGGTCACTATGCCTATCACTTCCTTTCAGATAAATAACAACACAAAATGTTGGAAATATCTAGATTAAAAATATAAGCTACAACACTATAATAATTGTCTATAAAACTATGTATTCAAAACATACTTCAAAAATTTGTTTCACATCAACTTTTACAATGTATGTTCTACTTGGTGTATTATTTGTGAGTGTATTATATCCAAGTCAATCTGATTTTCCTTCAAGCAATGGGACAAGTCTGTTGAATAAAGATTCAACACTATATCTATTGCAGGGTAGTTTTAAAATTTTCTGAATAACCGTGTTCGTGAGAATGAAGTAATGAGTCACAACAGCGGCCAAACTTAGTTGTGGGTCCATGTGCAGGATAAATTGGTTACGGAGCCATGACACAGCATGTTCTAAGAATGACTAGCAGAACAATATTCGTCAGTTGCTGATATCACAGTCTTTCTGAAAACTTTAATGTTCCCATATTACTACTGTTTGTTAGCAGACCTTTTAAGGTTAATGGAATTAAGGTTTGGTAGACCCCTGTACACTGCACACCCTATAGGCTGATGAGAGTAGACATAATGTAAAATACAAGTGAACAGTATTTAGTATAACACAAATACAGTGCGTGCTTGCTTGGTTGACAAATAGCTGTTACCGGATCAGCTACCTGACTATTTATCTAGACATTTTATACAGGAATGTTTAAGTCTAATGTTCTTATCTAATAACGAATGCCGGATTTACCCTGAACGACTAGCACTGCTGACTGGCCATTCACATAATTAAGGGACATTGTAACCTCGAGATATCACCTTATCATTGGAAGACACTGCTTTCTATTTTCTTGCACAAGGTACATTACAGCCATATTCCTTCATAGGCAGAACAGGTGTTATATCCAGAGACTGACAAAGGAGCAAAAACGAAATCAATACCAACTGTCATGACCACTTGGTATGTGAAAACTGCGTATACCAGAATGCGTACATAATTTTTAAAAATACTGTATTTACATAAGGCTATGGAAAACACAAGTATTCTTATATACGACATGGGTCAGAAGAAAGTGAATGATGAAGGTCAATTTCTAACTTTTAAAAACTGTTCCCTGAACAAACCCATAGGTAGTGTTGACATTATTCCATCTTATTTTTTACAATCAAGGGAAAACTACGAAATGTTACTACAACATAAGATTTTTATGGTCTGAAGGAAGTGCATGATGAGAAGTAATTAAAAAAATCAAAAGCGAACTCACAGCAGTGGATAAAGTAAAAATGATAGGTTGCTGTTTATTAAGTTTTGCACAAAGCTAATTGAGGGCTAGTCATACCTAATTTTTAAATGATAGACTAGAGGGAAGGCAGCTACATTTCAAATATGCACATTGTCAGGGTTTTATATATATGGGCTTGGATTCTTTAAGGTGTATGTGACTTGTTGGTGATAAATTCTAACAATAAACGGACAGCACACATTCCACTTGTTTTAAAACAATATATTCAAAACAAGGCAAACGTATGTACAAAAATTCTTAACACTGTAGGAAATCACAGTTTTATCTAAAACTCTAAATAATTCTCTTTTCTTGTCAAAAGTCTACTCAGACTGATTCAATTACTTTAGAATTCAATTGACAAGACAAATTATTTTTCTCTACACTTATCAATGAATAATCCACTTATGTTACCCCATGGGTTACCACAGTTGTATCTAGAATTTTAAATGATTGTCTTATTTTCGTCAAAGTACACACAGACGGGTTCAATTACTTTAGAACACCCTTTGACAAGACAAATTATTCTCCTTATCTCTATTAAACTGTGAAATTCACTTTAATATATTGTCCATTACGGCTAATCACTCACACGCTGGCGAACTTTATGTTTTCTTTTGCTAACTAATTTTCTGTCTGAACTACGCTTGACTTCACTTTACTATACTTCTTAACTTGCGCTCGCTTGGTCGCCTATATTTATATTTCATTCACTGAGGCCTCGAACTTTCTCTGCACTACGCGAGCGGCGCTATAATGTAACAATACGCAGGTAAGGTAACGAGAGTGCCCGGCATGGCCAGGTGGATAAGGCGCTCGACTCACAATCTGAGG